CAAACTCATTATTTTCAGAAGTAAAGCAACTTTGAGAAACAAAACATGAGGGCTGCCATATAGTTTATACTACAATGTTATGGGAGGTCTGGCATTGGTTCTTGTTCCTCTTCCAAAGGGTTCTCCAGTCGGCTTGATGTGGGTCAAAACTTAAAACCAGAGTGGTGGCTTTACTATGTTTTCAGGGGAAAGAACTGCCATTACACACATTAGAATCCCATTTTCCATTGACCCAAGAAGTGTCACTCTGCTTCTTGAGAAATAAGCCATATAAAGCATGTTGATATGTGTGTCACAAATCTCTTAACTTCCCTGGTTATTATCCTGATAAGCTACATGTTCTGTGTTTCAAGGCAAAACTACATGAAGGCAGAAAAAATTGGCAGAATGAACAGTGCATGTGGCTATAAACATCAGTTCTTCAGACAAAAATGTATGTCCTTCATAAAACTTCTTGAGAAATAAGCCATATAAAGCATGTTGATATGGGTGTCACAAATCTCTTAACTTCCCTAGTTATTATCCTGATAAGCTACATGTTCTGTATTTCAAGGCAAAACTACATGAAGGCAAAAAAAATTGGCAGAATGAACAGTGCATGTGGATATAAACATCAGTTCTTCAGCAGACAAAAATGTATGTCCTTCATAAAGCATTACAATTCCATTTTGTTTCTCAGAATCTGTATGTCATACTTTACATTAGGAAAACTTTCAGTAATTTTCTAATCAAGTCAGAAAAATAGCTCGTCAGCTTGAGCTTTTGCCTACATTTTCTTGCTCAAATTTTGGGTGTGCCTCTTCTGATGGGCCCAAGGGCCCATGTAAACTGACAGAAAGACTCTTCATGTGAGAGGGCATGGAACTGAGATGCTGCAGCAGCCATTTTGGCAGGAGGGGCCATGAAGTTTCCTTTTTGGAGCTAGGACTTTCAGTTATAAGTAATAAACCCAACTCAAACTTACTTAAGTAAAAATTTAAGTGTGTTATAGATGTAACTGGGTATCTCAGGAAACCAAGAGCAATGGAAATGCCAATATTCAAAAGAGCTGAGATGTAACTGAGCTTAAAGAAGACCTGGCAGGAGAGTCAGGCTTCCAGTACCAGGATTTCTCTTCTCCATCTTGACTGTTTCCCTAAATGGTAGCTTCCTTCCTTCTTATCAGTGTACACTGAGTTTTTCCAAATGACAGAGGACTGCCTTTGGTTTTTTAGCTTTATAGAGCTTCAACCAGATAGAGGGAGAATCACTTTTTTAGTTCTAATTCCAAAATCCTGGGGGTGGGGGGAACTCAGCTAGGTCTAACTTGGATCAGATTAACTGGGGCAAAGAGACAGAATAGCATTTGGATCCACTTAGTGAGGCGCCCAATCAACCACTGCCTACAAGCAATATCATTGTAGTAGTATGTTAGTTCCTTTATAATTATAAAGGCAGTGTTTATTTTAAAAATGGGGTGGGGCCGTTCTCACCAGAAGAGGGGCCACCTCTGACTATTCCAGAGATGTTCACTATTGCATGAAGTCTGTGAATACATTGCAAGGAGATAGATCATTCTAGCTTCCCTTTTGCCAGCAAAGACTGCCTATGGTTCTTGAGAACTTCCCGTTAAGCTATCCATTCACTGTTAGAAAGTTCAGGATGGTGGGAAGGCTGGAGGTGGTTGGTGAGCGGACGGGGGTGATTGCACATGAACTTGACCGAGCAGGGAGAAGGGAAGGAGAGTGCATTAGGAAGCATTGCCAACGTGAAGCAGAGGGTCTTGGCCTCCCAGATCTTTTCAGATTAAATCCTTGTGGTTCTCCCAGCTGCCTCTCTTCCTCCTGTCTTACACCTCTTTTTAATATTTTCTCCTATCATTTTTAAAATGAAGACCTTCTGTGTTACTTATAAGACTTCTGTCCTCCAGAGAAGCTTTAGGCAAAAGTTTGAAGTAAGGTAGTTTGTCTCTTCAGAAAAGAACTTTCCCGTGGCCTCTTGTTCTTTTTAGAAGAACAAAATCTGAGGGTCAGAGGAGACCAACCTGGAGGGCCAGCAAGTCCATCTATGACTGTGTGTGTCCCATTTCTGGCATCCATTACAAGTGGCCATCTACACTGCTTGACCACATATCAAAATGGGGCAGTCACCACTTTTCAGGAGAGCCCAGTCTATCTCTAGATAGTCCTGACTATTAGGAGTGTTTCCATGTATTAAGTTCCTACTGGGACAAAAATGTGTCTTTCCTTATTGCTTGTGCCTGTTGGTCCTAGTTCTACCACTGGAAACAAACAAGTCTAATCTTTTCCCTACATGCTCGCCTTCCAAGAGATCCATCACATTATCATGTTTCTCCCTATGATCTTTTTTCTTAAAGCTGAGCAACTGTTCTTCCCATAACTGTTCTCTGTTATATGGGATTTCAAGTACCTTTATTAACCGGGACACTCAGTTCTAGAAGCTTTAGTTACTTACATGTTCTTAATTCCACCCCCCTCCATAACCAGGCATAATTTTCTTCTCTTTTTGTTACCTGGGTCCCGATCTGGGCTGGGCATGGGAAGCAAGAAGCAGCCATGGGGGCAGGAGACCTCCCTCAGAAGGGGCAAGTGTTCAAGCCCCTGCATGGTTGGGGGGGTGAGGAAAGCATAATTTTCCAGATGTAGAAAATTCAGCACAGAAATAACAGAACTAATAATATCTTTCATTATACACGTAGAACTTCAGGAAAATCACATTTATCTTTTGGGAAGACCAACCTATGCTTAGTCTCTCTCATGCTGAAACTTATATAATCTATGTATATAGAAAGCCAGAGACTGGAACACATACCACCCACAGCCCCTCCCATGGCCGGCCCCACCCCCAATCGGCCCCCCCACCCCAATTGGGGGCAGGGCCCGCCAGCCAATTGCCTCCAGCCCCTCCCCCCAGCTGGCCTGGCCCTGATAGGGCCGATTAGTGGGGGCCAGCCAGCCAACCTCCCACCATCTCCTCCTCTTGACAGGCCCAGCCCAGATCCACCCCAATTGGGGCCAGGCCAGCTGGACCCCACCTGTGCACGAATTCAGGCACTGGGCCTCTAATAATTTATAATAAAATTGAAATGATAAAGAGTTCTGGTATCTAAATTTTACAAGTGAATTTCAGGCATTAGTACTTGAAATTTGAATGAAAGGAGGTGGGGGAATTTGTGAATTCCCATAATTATTCAAAACATATATTTGCTTCACTTCCTATTCATAATGCTAGTACTATCCATTCACTGAAAATTAGTGAGCACAGTAAATCCATATGAGGGGATTATTTGATTCCGTTCTTCCTCTTACAAAATTCATATGCTTAACAAACATTATATTCTGTTTACACACACACACACACACACACACACACACACACACAGTCTGGGATAAGCACTGTAATGCACACCCAGCCCTCAAGGAGCTAACAGTTTAAAAACTGAAGACGAGCCTTTTGCTCCCCTCACTGAAGGGTGCTATATATGCCAGTTAATTAAGGAAGAGCAAGAGGTCACCATGTTGGATTGGGTGGCACAGTGAGTTAGTCTGAATAAATTCTTAACTTTATTGTTCCAGAAGCACAACTAGAAGCAGAACCCAACTTGAATAAGTTGAAGTTTGAGGGGTCAATCAAAGAATCTCCAACCCCATGTAAAATGACCATCCTAACATATTAACACACTGAGTCCTGCCTTTATCTCTAGTCACTTATGGGTTCATCAGGGAAACTGATTATCTCAGAAAATAATGTAGAATATTCTCTTCTATTTATGTATTTCTAGGTTTAAAGTGAGGATATGGCATATATATATGTATAATGCACCCCAAAATGTATACACACACTTTGAGTAATTATAAAGGCAGTGTTTATTAAAATACATTTAATTTTTACAATTGAGTTATCAGCAGTTATAGTGTGTATACATTTTTGGGGGGACACCCTGTATATGTAGATTCCATGTTAGACAAATTTAAAATGTTCAGTCTTAAAATTTAATATGAAATAAGTGATGACTTTTTATAAACCTACCATAAGCTTATCTACTCATTATTTTCTAAAAACATCTGAATATGTGACAAGTTCCTCAACATAGGCAAGAATAGCTGTCCCAGGCCCTGTGAAATTGCATATTTAGCAAGGGAGTTTGACATTTCTTCTGTTAGCAACATATGTACCTGACCTACTTCCATTTCTGTTAAGGAAATTTAAAAATTATGACAAATCAGGACAGGCCCAGGAGTCCAAGTCCATAGCCATAGGGTCTGTTACTAAAGGTCTATGTATTAGTAAAGCTAAAATTGAGATTTTGTCACCTTGTTAGCCCCAGAAAGTTTGAATTTAATGACCCTGCATCATTTAGTTCCCATAAAGGAGAAAATGCAAGAAAAGAGACATCTTGAAGCTACCTACCACACAACTTAGAAAGTAAATTCAAGATTCCTTAGATTAAGGGGAATCAACTTCATCTTTAAGGTTCAGCTCATGGTTGTATTTAGCAACTTACCTAAGAGATTTCAGTCTCAGTATCATTTATTCTTCATCTGAACAATGCTAATAAGCATAGTATTCATAATCTCTCTACTTTAGAATTAAAACAAAGGAGGAGCTCTGGCCAGTGTGGCTCAGTTGGTTGGGTGTCATCCTGTGCACCAAAAGGTTGCTGGTTCAATTCCCAGTCAGAGCACATGCCCAGGTTGCAGGCTTGATCCCTGGTAGGGGACATGCAGGAGGCAGCAGGCCAGTGTTCACCTCTCACATCGATATACCTCTCTCTCCATCTCTCTTCCTCTCTCTCTCTCTCTCTCTCTCTCTCTCTAAAAATCAATTTTAAAATCTTTTTTTAAAAAATAATAAAAAAAACAAAGGAGGGCTTCAGAATTGGTGGCTACATTGAATAATTGGGAATACTTTAAGATTAGTTGCTTTATCTATAAACAAAGGCAGAATTACCTATTTTCTAATTCCCTTACTTATATAAAATCTTTTTATTTCTCCCACAGGTTGTTTGGTTTTTACAAGGGAATTCTACCACCCATATTGGCTGAAACACCAAAAAGAGCAGTGAAGGTAAGTAGTGTATGCTTCCCACCAAGTAAAGACAGACTACAGTGACAGCTTCAGCGTTAAAAGATCTCACAACATCCCGTGGGACATAAATTGAATTAAGTATAAGATAAGATGTTTAACGCAGAAATTATGGCATAATTTTATTATAATTAGTCTTGACCAATCTCTCAAATATTGGTTTGTGGATTTTTATGGGGGGGGGGGTAAAGGTACTCCTTTCTAATGGTGAAATTATATAAAAAGCACAGTGGTGAATGAAATTCGTGTATCAAAACACAACAGCCACAATATAGCTTGCACTTTTTCTCAAAGCAATTCATCAATTTTTCTTTGGAGCAATAATTATTAAAGAAAGAGAGAGGAGAGCAAGCTAATACACTATATATGAACAGAGTAAACTAATACACTATATTTCCCTGATATGATTCTCATATAACACATTTCTTTGTCATGCCAACTTCATTACCCCCTCCCCACCTCTGTTAAAAGTTTCTATTCTGGTTTTTCCAAAATTATTACTTCCATTTCCCTGTTTCCATCTTTTAAACCACATAACTATGGAGTCTATGTACTACTTACTGCTTCAGTATCTGGATAGGAACACAGAGGACTGGCAGGATTCTCTGAGGGAGAAAGAACTGAATCTGATCACTTTTTTATATGTTCTTTCAGACAAAAATCCTGATCACAGTGACTCTAACTAGCACTGACCCCCACATCCAGACCACTGGCAACACTTATTATGTTTCCATAATAAGGAAACATAAACTTAGACTGAAAGACTTCCTTTCCAACTGACACAAAGCTTTTTGTCACATACATTACTCAAATAATACTCCCCATATTCCTGGAAGGGAAGGGGCAACATTATATATATATATATATATCAGCAAGTTAAGAGGGTGACTAGATTAAAATTTATGATAAAATAACCATGTATACAGAGACACCAAACTTTTACATTATGTCAAAATAGTAATTTAATAGGATTTAATTCAGATCTAGAATTCAGAAAACAAAGCTTTAAAACACACTTTCTCTATAAATTCGTCCTCTTTGTTGCCATAGTTTTTGTGATTTTTGTATTATATCTTCAATACAAATGTCATTATAAGGATCTGACTACCAGAGAATCTGGAAAAAGTTCACCAAAGTACACAAGAGGCTGAATGGGATTATGAAACTGCCTCACTTGATAAAAGATTGCCCAAGTAAACAAACAGAGCAGAGTTCCTGTTTTAAAAAAAAAGCCACTTTGTCTCCATGGAATAATATATTCATTTGTTCAGTGTTTTACATGTATAAATAAAGTAAATTATAATTAAAGATTTTCCTGGAATATTTTTTCTTAATACTATACATTGGAGACCATTTAAACTTTAAGATGATTAAGGTTTATCAATGTTGAACAGTCTTTTACAGAAGAAAAAAAAAGTTGAGCTTTACAAAACTTAGTCTCTATTTAAAAGAAAGCAATGCTCGCTGCCAGTACAATGGTTAACAGATGAACTTTTTGGGCAACTGGCTGTGGTATATGGGTCCCAGACATCTTGTTTCAAGTAGTTGTTACCTTAAAATTATTGAGACATATGGTAAGTATGTTGGCTTTTTTAAGTATAACTTGGAGTTAAAAGTGTATCTTTGCCAGATGGATAGCACTATTTTTAACACAATTCATGAAAACATTCACTTTATAGATATTTATCTTAGAATTTGTGAGGAACAATTTCATACATCGTAAACTGCTTCATTGCATGTCATCAAAGTTTACTTCAGAAAAAAATATTCACAGACCATATATGTGTGTGTATACACACACGTGCACACTTATACATATATATGGTCTATGAATACTTCCTATATATATGGGTATAGATATAGATCGTCCTTGGTACTGACATGTCAGTTGCAATTGTTACTGTAATCAGAAACAGACAATGTTAAGTTTTTTCTGCACTTTATTCTTTGAAATGAGATTCATCATTAAAATAATAAGACTCACTGATGCTAAATAAATGAAACTTCCTCTTTTACAACTTAAGAGCAATAGTACTACAGTTAGCAAAAGGAAATGAAGACCTCAGAAAGAGACCAGCTGGTTCCTCAGAAATGGGAGGCGCCACGTTCCAGGTTCCAGGGTCTGGTCTTGAGCATCACAGTTCCAGGAACACCATTGTTTCCATGATCAGACTCTCAAGGACTAACAAACTCATGAGAGATTATTAATTGTGAAGGCTGTTTGCTCACCACTATCTCTATAGCTTTCGTAGTGTCCACACATGGCAGATGTTCAATTGATATTACATGAGTAAATGAAACATATGTAGAGAAAAACAGAAAGAAAATGTATGGGTTTAATAACAGGAGACATTTCTATCCAATTCCCCCAAATTAACACATCTACTATTCAGAATTTTTGGAAGTCCAAGACTTCCATTTCCAGCCAAAATGGGGTAACACAGGGACCAGACTTCCTCTCCTGCCTGCAACAGCAACAACAAGAAATAAAAAGAACTTGAACCACAATTTTCAAGACACTGACATCGGACAAGGAAGGATAGAAAGATGGGAAACAAAGGAGATGAGCCCTATGGACTGCCCACCTTACTGCCTGGAAAGGGTTTCCAGGTCCAGCCAGGCAAGGGAATATAGGCAGAGCCCAGTGGGTTCCCTGGGTTGGGAAGGAGCTGAGAGACTGGGGAGGGCAAGGCAGCTCGAGTTCATTGGACAAAGTAACAAGAGAGAGCTGCACAGAGAGAACTCTAAGGGTCTGCAGAGAGACGCCTTGAGTATTCAGCTGAAAACTGACCAGTGCCTGCATGTGAGGAAATTAGCAAGGCCTGAGAAAGAGCCATCCAGGAATTAGAGGGAGCAGTGCTCCTAGCCACACAAGGCTGAGAATAGTACCTGTTCCCACCAGCCAAACCAGAAGGCTCCAAAATGCACCGGGCATCGAGAGGAGTACTCAGAGGGGTTTGCCTCCATAGTAATGTAATCACAGAAAGTCAGAAAACATACACACAACACGCACACACACATCTTTATACCAGAAGAGAAAACCAGAAAACACACACACACACACACACGCACACACACACCTTTATACCAGAAGAGAAAATGGTGGGGAGGCCTTCTGTGGGCTCCATCATCTCCCAGAACTTCTCTGAACCCAGCGAGGACCCCTTAGAGTAGTGTTTCCAAAGTGTGGGTCATGACCCATGGGTCATGAAATCAGTTTAGTGAGTCACTGGAATTTTTTTAATAAATAGAATAGAAACAGAGTTACACATAGTAAAGAGGTAAATATCCTATCTAATAAAAGAGAAACATGGTAATTAGTGTACGACCGCTCCCCTTCCCATTGTCTAATCAGGGAGATATGCAAATTAACTGCCAACAAAGATGGCGGTTAATTTGCATACATAGGCGCAATGATGGGAGGCAAAAGGGGAAAGACGGAAGAACGGTGGCAGGCAAGAGCTGGGGGGCGGCATTGGAAAGCCCTGCAGCAGGCCAGGCGACACCCATGGCCTGGGGTGCCGGTGATCGCCATGGCATCGGAGGAAGAGAGAGCCAGGGTGCAGGACCCCCAGGGCCAGGGGTGCCGGCTGGCCTGCGGCCCCCTGATCTGCCATGGCGAAGGGAGGGGTGGGGCCCCAGGCACCGGCACCCCAGTCACAGGATGCAGCTGTGCCTGCAGTCCCCTGATCTGCAATCGTGAAGGGAGAGGCGGGGCGCAGGCACGGCTGCACCCCAGGCCGGGTGCAGCCGTGCCTGCAACCCGAATATGCAATCTTGAAGGGTGCAGCCTTGCCTGCGACCCGAATATGCAATCTTGAAGGGAGTGGTGGGGCAGCAGGCATGGCAGCATCCTGGGCTCCGGGTGCAGGTCCAGGGTGCAGCCTGCCTGTGGCCATCTGATTTGAGATGCGAAGGGAGGGGTGGGGCCACAGGCAAGGCGGCACCCAGGGCACCAGGTGCTGAGGTTCCTGTGGTCCCCTGATCTGAGATCAGGAAGTGAGGGGCGGGGTCCCAGGCACAGCTGCACCCGGGGGACCTGATCGCATCCCCAGCGATGAGGCAGGGAGGGACCCAGAACACGTGCAAGGCCTCCTGCCTGGCAGCGGGGGACCGATCATGTCCCTGGCGATGAGGCAGAGAGGGACCCAGACATGGGGAAGCCGTCCTGCCTGGCTGTGGGGACCTGATCCCATCCCCTGCAATGAGGCAGGGAGGGACCCAGAACACGCGGAAGCCGTCCTGCCTGGCTGTGGGGAACCTGATCGCATCCCCAGCAGCGAGGCAGGGAGGGACCCAGAACACGAGGAAGCCGTCCTGCCTGGCCATGGGGGACCTGATTGCATCCCCAGCAGCGAGGCAGGGAGGAACCCAGAACACGAGGAAGCCAGGTCTTTATTTATTTATTTATTTTATATTGTGTAATTATTTATTACAAATAAACGGTGGGTTCACATCTGTCAAAAACGGGTCCTCTTTTTACATGTGTGTGCAGGTTCTGATGTACAAGAAAGGGTCATGTGCTTAGTTCGTCCATGCAAAGCTCACAGGTACATCACTAAATACTTTAAAAATAGAA